CTATTGTACTGAAAAGAACGTCACTATATTAATTTTGTTGTTATAATTTACAACAATTTTTAATATTAATGAATTTCATTTCGATATTTTTACAACTTTTAATGTTTCCTGGTATCTTATTTTGAAGAGGAAAAATGTTACATTTTGTACATCATGTAACTTTTACTTATTTTTTTAAAGACTTTTTTTAAAAAGGGACAATACAGTTATTACAATATATCAATTAGAATGTTTTTTGGAACAAAAATCTTACGAAAATTTTCTCTATTTCGCATATTTTGTCAAAGCTCGAACTAACAAAAGTATTAAAACTTAGGGGAGACCGGGGCTAATAGATTTTTTAGTTTCGAATTTTTACAGACAAAATTAAGAGACTTATCGAAAAAATGAATTCTACACCAGTTACTACATTTGACTACCTAATAATATTTTAATAATAAGGGGAAACTGATAACTAATATGAATGCATTTTTCTAATGCATTCCATCTGATTCAACTAGCCTCGGGACCGGGGTAATTCGATTAAGATTATTAAAATAAAAATTAATGTATTTTAAACTATATCTTTGGCTACATATTAATAAAACTTTTATAAAAATATATTTTACATTCGCTTCGCAAGGCAAAACGATATTTCTTTTTGCAAAATTTGTTTATTTCATGCAAAAACATATCGAATAAGCCTAATTTTCGAGATTGGATATGAGGGAACTAAACTTATAACATTTACCACTGAGGAAAATCTCTTTAAAGGAATAAAATTTTGAGTAAGTACTATAAGAATCGTCACTAAATGAATCATATAGTTCCATGCTGTAGTTAATCTACTATCCCCATCCGTTCATTTTTTAAAAACATTAACAATATACTACAACAAAGACACATAAACAAAAAAAATCTGTTGAACTTTATTAAGTAAGAACTACACTTACTGTCTAAATAGAAATCAAATATTTCAGACAATCATATACGATTGTAAAACAAAAACTTTAAGAATAAAAATATTTACTTAAGTGTACGATTTTTTAAAATTGTGATAAAACTTCTTCATAGATATGTTCTCAACAAATGTTACAGCAGACTTTAGCGGCAGTCACTGCTGCGTGTTTACGCATGTCTCGCATATTTTGTTTTTAATGTAGCCTCGATTATTCTACTTACCTATATTCAATTGATTCCCGGTCTCTCCTATTTATATGTCTTATAACAAGAAGAACAAAGTATTTTATGCAAAAAACTCATACAAAGTCAAAAGTAAAGTTGTTTTTTTATATTTAAAAATGAAAGAGAGGAGTTCGATAGAGTATGTATATCGTCAATTCAAAATAAAATATTCTCATTAATAAAGCAATAAAAAACTTATCCCGCTTCCTAGCTCAAACATTACAACCCCCTCACTGGAAAATCCGAATCACATAACCAACTCAACGGACTTCATACAAAAGATCCAAAAAATTCGACTACGTCCCACAGACTTGCTTGTAAGTTTCGACGTAGAATCCCTTTTCATACAAGTTCCAATAAAAAACATTAAACATAATAAAGACCTCACATGAAGTCTTCTCCGACCATGTCCCGCTAATTAACAACCACTTACTTCTCCTATAATAATTTTATGAACAAATTTCAAGAGCGATAATTGGGCTCTCCTATTTTTCCTGTAATCGCCAATATCTTCATGCATTTTGAGAAAGAGGCCCTCAGAAAAACATCCAAAAAACCAGAAGTTTGGTTCCGTTATGTAGATGACACATTTGATATGGAGATACGGCAGAGCCGAACTCCATAAATTCCTTAGTTTCCTCAACAATTAACATCCAAATATTCATTTTATTATAGACATAGAGGAAAACGGAAAATTCCCCTTCCTAGTTCTTGTCTTTAAGAAAGCTGATAGTACCTTAAGTCATCAAGTGTACAGAAAATCAACACATACAGATAGATACCTACATGCCGAGTCCACCACTCAGCACAAAAACAGCACAAAAACAGTCTGCAATCAACTCACTTGTACATAGAGCTTTCACCATCTCTGACAAAGAACATCTACACAGACAGAACTCAACCACTTAAAACTAGTCTTACAGAAAAACGGACATGACAAAAAAGACATAATCAAAACAATTAATAAACTTGTAAATAAGAAAACGGTCTTTGACAGCCAGAAAAAAACCTTGTTTCTGCGGGTAAATATACATTGGAGAAATCGGGAAAATGGTCAACCTACGGATAAAAGAACATCAACGTGATGTCAGGCTAAAATGACATGCAATCAGCATTATTAGAACATCGAAATACTGTTTGACAAAACGATCACAACATCATACTTTCTAAGAAAGTATAGAGAAGCCATAGAGATACAAAAACATCCTAATAATCTAAATAGAGATATAATATAAAAAGGAACGATCCGAAAGAACGACTCAGTATCAAGCTGTTCCTTGCCCTGATGAAGTGGAATTGTAAGGTTCATAAAACGATAGTATTCCAAGAATGGATTTGACACAGAGAAAACCCGCGAAAAGCATAATCTTTATAAAGCAATGGAAAATTGTTAGATATCAACTGATGTGAGCTTATCAGGATGTGCGCTAACGGGACTCTCTCAAAATGAAATAATTAATAAAAAATTTTGGTGGGGATTTAAATCCAAACTTCTCCCTCCCCCCTGGATACGCCCATGATTGATAGTAATTTAAATAAAACACATGCAGAAAAAGTAGACGATTTTCAGAAACTGTGTATAATAAACGTACATTTATAAGTGTATATGTGTGCTGCGTTACGCGGAACTACTCATTTCCATAAGTCGTATAGAATGTAATTACAAATTCGCGTAACTAATAAACTACCTTTGATATTTCTATTGAAATAATCTGAATATAAAAATATGATTGGTTATCGTGTATGCCACCAAATTTGTTCCATGACATATTGTAATTGAATTTCGCGTAACAGAAAACGTAGAATCAATGATTCTAAATACGCATAATGGCTTCTAACAGGTAACATGATACGTGAAAAATCTGTCATGGGATGGCAACCTAAAACTTAGAGTGCGTGAGTGTCTAAAGTGAGCGCAGCTCATACGTACCATGTGCAAAAGTAACATATCCACCTAAGCGTCGAAATCGCTTAGATATACTTGTTTTTACAAAGATATTAATCTCGTGTTGTATATGTACGGTAATAGCTATGAGAATTTACAAATATGAATTTACAATATGTTCGCTACAAGTATTTTAAACTAAATTTCTTTTAAGTTATCGTCCTTCTCGCTTACTCCATATGCTTTGTTAAAATAAATAAATTAGATATACACAAATATATCTTCAATAATTAAAAGATGAATGATTAAGAATATGAAAAAGAATTAATAAAAAGAAATGTGCATCATCTTATTGCAATTATGCTGGTCCATACTCATTTACTTTTTAATTATTGAATATGTATATGTGTAAAATGCAAGGCCCAAGCGATACGCTTATTTTCAATCTCTTACTATTTCTTGAAATTCTTTTTTTATATATTTCAATTTTTATATATTTCATATACTTTACATATTTTATATATATTTATATATTGTCTATTATATGTAGGTACATAATATTCGATTGTATATATGATAGAGCTATTATTATTATATGAATACATAGGTATATGATATAAATTATCAAATATATTATATATGACATGGCTATTTCAAATCAAGGTATATGAAAATATGTATTTTTACTTTGATTCGAAATAGATACGTCATATACATGTATTATAAAAAATAACCAATGAACATATATATATAATAACCATTTGTTTTTTTAATTTTTACGTTTTATAGATATTTAGACAAAAACATATGAAAAAAAGAAAAAATAAAAAGAAGAGGAAAAAGGAAAAGAAAGAAAGAGTGGGGATAGTTATTGGTAAATTATATGTATGTCTTCATATATTTTAATTGGAAATTACTATTGAATTCTACTTAAGCGACCATTATAAATCAAGAAAAAGAGTTCTGTTATAAGACAGTCGCCTGATTTATATATATCGTATCCTATTTCATCTGAAATTGAAAAAAGTTGTTTTTTTCAATAATTTCGAATTCTTATTAGTATTTCTGATCATGCCATGTGTATTTCAATTGGTCAAAAAGTTTTCTTTTGCGGCAGATAAAATCATTTCTATCGGACGTAGTTCAGAAATTCGAGCAGTTTCAAAACCGTTTTTTATATTTAACAAGATAACAAATGTAGTACAAAGCAACGCGAGAAGGATGATATTACAATAAAATCGAAGGATGATATTAACCAAAACTCATCATCTCATACTACGTAGTATACCTGAATGAATTGAAATCTCTATTTATTTCGGAGAAATCATGAAATTGTTCTTCAAATATATACCGGTGGTTGGTCATTAATATAGGCGATAATATAGGATCCTCTTCTGTATAGTACTTACTAAAATTAGAAGCCTTTTTTGGATCTTCCTAAAAATTTCGAGAAGCAATTATGTATACACTCCTGTGTTATTTATCAATTAAAATAATAAAGCGCGAGACTCACTACTACAGGTATATATGGAGGTTTTACTTGACGCGCTTCGAGAGCTTTCCAATCTAGATGTTTGAAAAATGGCTGGACCCTTATAGCATTTTCGCCACCGTCGGCTGCAACACACCCTAACCGTTTTGCGGGATTTTTGGTCAAAAAAGCTTTTATAATTGTTATTGCTTCTAAAGAAATCCACGTTTCCACTTTTAACTTATCATTTATAACAATATTTCTTAATTCTTTAAAGAGTTGGAAGTTGGACTTAAAACACATGTTTGGAACTACAAAAGGTAATTTTCCAAATATCAAACAATACATCATGACACCAAGTGCCCACCAATCTACCCCAAAATGATATGATTTGTTATCATAGATCTCCGGAGGAGCGTATTCAGGCGCCCCCCAGTATGATAATGGTGGACATTTTCGAATTCCAATTTTACACAGTCCGAAGTCTGCAAGCCTGCAATGGCCGTGGGCATCAAGTAATATGTTGTCCAGTTTTAAATCACGGTGTATAATGTGATGTTTATGCAGAAACTGAAGCGCGAGTGTCACTTCTGCTGCGTAGAAACGTGCCCACTGCTCTCCGAGCGGATATGGAGAAACCAAATCGAAGTAGTGTTGCAAGTCACCTGAAAAAAATCAAGAGATAATAAGCGAGATAAGAGAGATAAGCAGTATTCAAATAAATAGTAGATATCTTTCAAATTTTATTATAAAACGGCAATTATTACCTCCACTCATGTATTCGATCACAAAATAAATATGAGTGTCGGTAGTGAACGAATAGTATAATTGCATTAAAAAAGAATGTTCTGTTGCAAGGATTAAAACGTCCTTTTCCATCATAATATAATCTACATCTTCTTTGTCTCTGATTTCACTCTTTTTTAAGATTTTTACGCTGTAAATCTCATCGGGATTACTCTTCAGTTCGGCTAACATCACTTTACCGAAACCGCCTCTACCAAGAACCTTAATAAACTTAAGGTCATCTATACCAATTTTTTTATTATATCTATTTTTATTTTTGTTAAATGAGATTCTTAGCTGCAAGTCATCTCCGGAGGTATTTGGATCTCTTTGATTTAATTGTCAATTAACAACTTCAGCATTAGTTAAGTCGTTCCAACTTACGCCCGATTTGTCTGTCTGATCACCTTTTGAAGATGTTTTTATCATTTTTGATACTTTTTTGGTATTTTTATATTTGGATTGGTCCCAGTGTTTCTTAAATTTAGTTATAATATTTTTCGTCTCTTCTTCCTCAAGATATGTGCACGATAAAAATGTATTACATTTTAAAATTTCTTCATTTTTCTCGATTACATTGTTTTGTAGGGCTCTTTCTTCTTCTTTAACCTAATCGGAAAAATAAAAAAAAAATCACCATTATAAAATCATCATCATTATAAAAATTTTTCACCGTTTTTAAACCTCATATGGACCGTTTTTAACCTGTTCCTGCCCTTTTCTTGCACTCACAAGCACTCGCGGTGTATCACGAGGAACGATAACAAGTATAAACGAGTATGCGTATAAGTGTTTGTGAGGAAATTGCCCGTTTCAATACTCGTTTTTCCGCAGATGAACGAGGAACATATACACGAGTATGATCATGAATATTTTTAAGTGGATTGTCCATTTTCAATACTCATTTTTATGATCTAAAAACGGAGTCATACACATTGAGTAAAATGCATGTTTTCAGCATTCAAATTAACCGTTCGCGCGAGCTAAAAACGAGCTAAAAACAGTAAAAAATTTTTATAAGGGATGATTCCGTTTTTAGATCGTAAACAGGAACTTTTCTGTAAAAATGAGTGGTAAATACATGCTGCGTAAATTTGAGGCGGAAAAAACGTATATAGTACAAAATACTCATTTAGCACTCGTCACTCACATTGTATATTTTCATCACTCAAAATTCGAAGTAAGGTATATAACTGATAGCACGAGAAAATCAGCTTCTGTCGAGATTTGAATCAAGGCCTGGTCTCTAAGTTGCCACTTTCCCACTGAACCACACAACTCCTATGTCATAAAATATTTATAAATAATAATTGGAAGTACAACGTGTAAAATGATGTAGTAATTTATTAATTGTGTTTACAAAGTTTTATTAAGGAATATAAATGGTGAATATATAATATATTAAAAATAATAGATAATAATTCTAATCTTGCATTCGATAGTTATGATGTGAGGAGGTATGATATGTTTTATGTAATGCATTGAATTTAATATACTTAACTTCCAAACTATGTATGCGTTTTGGGCATAAATCCGATTTGCTAAAAATTCCGTATACTCCAAAGAGTTGCGTCCAGATAATTCTAAGCTATAGGTTACGTCATGTATATTATAGCAAAAATGTACCCTAGAGTTATCTAAGTGTAATTCCTGAACGCTGCCCAGGTGAAGATATATCACATCAAGTCGAACGGAGAATGAAGTTAAGCACTTGTATTTTGCTATATTTTGTTCTTTATCATCTCTCTATATTTATGTATCACCAAATAACCAAGTCTTTTCTACTTTCTATAGTAATGATTTAATATGAGTTATATGATATAAGGTTACTTATTACATTGACATTTAATATTACAGTAAAAAAATTAAAATTACAATACTAATATAACATAAAGGCGTATATAATAGATTGGTTGCCTGCAAATTATTTCAATTCCTTTTTTCTGATTTCTGTGGCGTAAATCTTGGCGCGCAGCGTATATAAATATTGGAGTTATCTTATTGAATTAATTTAATATTTGAATTCTATTTCAATTTATTAGATATTGTATGAAATATTAAAAAATTATTATATATATAAATAAAATACTATAAAATTAAAATAAAATACTTTTTAATCGATTAATGTAAAATTGATGTGATAATTAATAAACGTGATAAATAAATAATTATTAAAAGAGGGACGTATTAACGTGTTCTCACTTACCAGCTGAACGGACATTGAAAACAATCCACTCAAAAATATTTCCAACGGAAAAATGAGTATTGAAAATGAACATCCACTCAAAAATATTCATAGTGGAAAAACGAGCATTGAAAATGGACAATTTCCTCAAAAATATTCATACGCATACTCGTTTATACTTGTTATCATTCCTGATGATACACCACGAGTGCTTTTGAGTGCAAGAAAAGAACAGGAACGGGTCCATATGACGTCTAAAAAAAACGGTGAAAAATTTTTATAAAGAATACTCATTGAATAAAATGCACGTTTTCACCTCTCAGATTAACCTCTCGCGAGGTGGTAAAACGAGCTAAAAATGGTAAAAAATTTTTATAAGGGCACAATCTTAAAAAGTAATAATAAATTCAGTAATTATTTAGTATAAGGAACAACTCTTCAATGACATTGATCTTGATATATGTTGTCAAAGTCATGCCCCCTAGTGACCATGAATAAATTTTAGCCGTCGCTCGTTGTTCCTTAAAAAATTGGTAACAAAAAAAGCTAATTAAAAAAATGTGGTTTTTAAGCAAAGAATTTGTTTGTAAAGCGGACGTTCCCAGCAAAAAAACCAAATATATCATCACATACAGCAAATGACTGGACTAACTTTTGCAGAGAAGAGTAATTCATATAATTTAATAACTTGGTAAAACTACATAAATGGAGAACAATGTCAATTGTTTGTAAAGCAGGAAATTTATGCTTTTAAAGTAAAATATTTGTATTTTTGAAACAGGAAACTTATTTACTTATTTAAAAATTCTCTACTTTAATAAATATTCAATTACAATAATCTGGCTTCTCAGCTCATAAATCAATGGTTAACAAACATCCAAAATTAAATTAGCAGAGAAGGAATTATTGTCGAAATCAATAAGGCAAAATCATAAGAAAAATTACATAAGAAATTATATAAGAAAATATTTTGCGCTGTTAAAGCAGGAAATTTGTTTTATCGGAGCGCAGTCGATCGCGTCCAAAAGATAGGTTTTATTGATGAACTTTTTTTATTAATAATTTTTTAAGGAACAACAATGACTAAAATTTGTCCAAGGTTAAGGAGTCATTGGAGAGAGTAATTCCTTATACTAAATAATTAATGAAATAAACTAATAAACATACCTCTTTTTTTTCACACCATGGTATCTTGAACAAGTCCAAGCAGTCCTTATGCACTGCCCGCGTGCATACTAAAACAATATAATATAAAGTATCTTCTTATAAAATGCTTGCTTCCAAGATGTAATATAGCACGTCCAAAGTTATAACTGCATGCGTGATAAGACGCATCCGAAAATTATTTACTGTAATATCATAAGCAGAAATAAAATTAAAATTCACTTAATGTTATTCTCAATATAGAATCAGCAGTAGTTTCGATACTAAAAATATTACCAAGCTCTAAGATAGCATATTTGGAATTTTTATTGAAAGATATGTAACAAATCGAGAAATTATTTAGCTACAAATCTAAATTGTATCGAAACAAAATAAAATCAGGAGAGACAGATACCTAGCTAATACATTAAAAATCAAAATCTTTACGTTACTACTAACTAATATAACAATAAGTTAAGTAATAAAATATTTAATCATGAAGCAGATTAATTAACCAAAGTGATCATTGACGCGACAATTATAGGACGTAGTAGTTAGAAATGAAGCATTAAAAAAATAAAACGTTAAATCGATGAAATAAGAATCGTGATTTTTCTCGTCGTTAAAACTCGCACGTACACATTCGTAACTGCACACATTTATACATAAGAATGCGGCAAGTAAATACATAACTATAATCTATTAATAATGGTGTATGTGTCTTCTCACCTTCGCATCTAAATCCTTTTCTTATTCCCCTGAAATATAATAAATAAAACACGTTACATGGTATCCTCATAATCCCTCCTAAGACACATATGTTTGCTTTCTTCAATCATGCTTAGTCATCATTTAGGTTAAACTTCTTGATTTTTAGACTATAGATAGATTAAATATCCAATGCATACAATCCTGCATTTTGCAAATTTTTAATTGATTAATTCGAGGTGTACTATTAACTAAATTTTGATTTCTAGATGTAATTATGGGATGAATACATCAGTTTAATTAATTAATGCTTCCATTTTCCAAGTATTTTGAGATAGCACGCATTTTGTCAAAGATAGCGATCAAGAAATATCGTATGCAGAATCTTAATGGTTATTCTACAACGAGCTTTTTGTTTTCTTGCTTTTTGCTATTTTTTACATCTTGTCTTTTTGCTTCTTATCCGATTTTTTGTTTTATATCACCCGAGATAAAAGTTAACGAACTTCGGAAGAAATAGGAAATACATAGCAAGAAATACAATTGTTGATAAAACGGTTGCAAAAGGGAAAAAAGCAAGAGGTAAAAAGTAAGAAACAGAAAACAAAGAGCACATTGTAGAATAGGCTTAAGACAGAAGCAATGTTTTTCCATAGACATACATACCAAATTATATTTTTGCACGAACTGTTCATACAGTGTCTGTAAAAATTTCTCGTAGCCTTCAATTTATGTCCGTTTATTAAGTCTTTTTCTTCAAATTCTTTTTCATGCTGGTCTTTCTTGTCTTTATTAGCCTTTGTTAGCTTATATACTTCACCACTAGACTTCCCATGGAAACTTGCTACTAAAATATTAAATCAAGTTATCGAATCATGTATACTTACAAAATAATGAAATTTTTCTTACTTCGTGCATTCGACATGCTATTATTAGTCGCAATCTTCCCTGAGGTTCTAAGCCAACCTGCAACAATTAATTTTCATTGTTAATTAGATAGTCTTAAAAATGCACACTACATCTTCACAGCACACTCTATACACAGGTTCTCTTAAATTTATTTATTGTGTATGAATATTGTGCATAATTCTAACATGAATGCAAAGGCCTAACCGAATAAGCATATGAAATGCCCCTTAATCTAATTTTGAATATGTTACATTGTTAAACTTGATAAAAGATTATTTTATACCAAATTTCAACCTGCTAAACTTAATCATGTAGTGAAAAATCAATTTCAATTTTTTAATTTAAAAAATGGAGTAAAAAATGCTCGTATATTTTCTTAAAAAATTAATACGGCTTATTTCGAGCTATAATTAAATTAACTTTAAATTAATATAATTAACAGACGTTTCGGCTTACAAAGCCTTCTTCAGTGCTACAACGCAAAAATACAATCTTACATCTTAATGAATAAAGAATAACGGATACAAAATTTAAAAACCATCAATGATAAATTGTCAAAGTAAAAAAATATAAAAGAATGTAAAAACATATAAAAATTCGAATAAGTATCCCGTCAATAAGTATCCCGCCAGATGACAAAAAGCTAGGAATATTTGGATATTTCAGTCAACAATAGATCAATTATGTTCATCGATAAAATAGATTTACCAAATTCTTCGATTGAGATCGAGAATCCAGTTTGTCACAAACTTGTATCAAACGATTTGAGAAAATTAAAAAATTTTTTTTTAAATTTAAATTTTTCGTAAAAGGAGGAAGAGAAATAAGGAAAAGAGGAAAAAGAGTGTGCTTCTCGTACAACTTTTTTTTTTGTTAAATATATTTTACCATACACACGCTATACAAAAGTACGTGAGTACAAATGATTGAAAATGGACTGTGAGTCTATATAAAAACTTTTATCATCAAGCTAATATCATCGGAAAAGATAATAAATATCTGCTAGAAATGTAAACGCTGATGTAAGGAATGTCTCTGACCAAAATAATATGAATAATTGAAGTAGAAATAAATGTTTTAATTGCGATATCCATTGTATGTATAGTAGTTCTTCTCGCGCGCGTGCAGGAAAACTTATCGATTTTAACTTTACCAAAATTGTCGTTCAGAATAGTTTTTAAAAAGTTTAATTTAATACTGAAGGTATTCATAAGCGATTAATCCCCAAGAATAGTACTCTCATCAAAATATAGTACCTTACGCGCATTTGTGCGCAAAAACTTTCGTATAAGAATTTCAAATATCAACGTTACTCAGCTACAGGTTTATCAAGGCATCGATTTTACATAGCTCAACATAAAAGCGTCTGTCAGCCACTGTGCTCATCATAGTGACATCGCTCGAAAAAATGCTTCTTTTTCTCGAAAGGACGTGCCGTAAAATCGGAAGCTGAGTATATCTTAGCAACCCTTTCCAGTATCCCACTCTGTTTAAAATTATTGCTTTGGCCTTGTCGCTAGTAGAAACGACATTTTAACGACTTTCATCACTCGACCCTCGAGTATAGCATAATAACATCGAAGGCTTCGTAAGGATGCGTCTTGGGTATAGATACGCATACATTAATACATACCTATATGCACGGCGAGTATTCATAGCACAAAATTGGCTGAATAGAGGATGCCTTGTATGAGAATGTTTACTAAACGATTTTATGGTCAACGGAGATACCATGTACCCATAAGAACACGAGTACTTCCTTCTAGCGAGAAGAAATGACTTTGCAACATTTCCTCCGAACTTTTGATTTGACAAATAATAGGACAACAGACATGGGTGCAGCGACAAACAATGTAAAGATTGCATTATGTTCTACAAAAGAATTTCGGGTAAGAAACTACTCATGAAACTGTTCAATCTCATTGCGCTTATCTCACATTTCATCTGCAGCGAAAGCATTACTCGCTCTACATTGCGAATGAGGTCAGTAGTAAAATTATTCGACGCAAAAGTACGCGTCACGCAAGACGAATAGTGCGCAGAAGGAAATTAGGCTTTCACGTTAATGAAATATCGTTGTTTAACAAACGATAACACTTAGCGAGGCGGGATGTGCTCATAATCAGTAGAGGATTTACGGTTTTACGGCGAAAAATGATTGGATGAGATTGGCAGCAACCCTCGTTCGAAAATATAAAGTTTTCTGAGGGCTTATTTTGTTAGCAAATAAACGAAAGAAAATTAAAAACTTTTTGTTTTTTTTTTTAGATTAAGAAATGTTCTTAAAATACTTGCTCTAAGTTTCAGGAAAGGCATCGATATTTCTTATCACATTCTGGAATCACGAACGATATTATAGGTTGATTTGTAAGTAAATTTCCATTTCCTTTCATTAAATTTTTAGTGATGATACATAGTGAATGATACATTTGGCATCTATTTCTGTAGTTTTCTTGTTGTGGAATGTGGATTTCCTATAAATAATTTTAAGACGTGATCGTTGGAGGTCACGACATTTATTTCTCTATATATTTATAATTCATTCTTCAAAGTTATATCTCTGAAACAAACTACTTTCGCAATCTGTTATGACACTCTCGTCATATACACTAATATACTATAAATTTTTTGAGCATTGAATTGAGTATCTATTGCATTATTTTTTTATTCGCATTCCAAAAATTGTTACGTAACACATATATGTATACTCTGAAATTGTTCATTTTAAGAATTTGCTCTTCTAATTTTCTAAGATAATGTTTCCAATTATACTAATTTACAGCTAAGAAATTTTATTATTAGATAAATGTAAAAATTATTAAGTAAAATTAAATTAAATAAAATTAAATTGGGGTTCTTTGAAAAAATAAATTGTCATTTGTAGCTGAAATAATTTACATATGAATGACGTTGTAACATTACTGTATGAAGCATCTTCACATATAAAAGAACATGTTTATTTAATTACAACTCTCGACTGTTGAATTTAATGTCAACTAGATGTAACTCTGCGTTTTAAGAATATTATTGAATTACTGAAGATGGCCAGATTGTGGCCGAAACGTTTAATGTTTTAATTAATGTAATAATAATTAAATATCACAAACTATAACTTGTGCTGTGGTTTTTTATGCTCTTATTTTTATATGTGTTAATATTAGAACACGTTAGTTTCAAGATATATTTTTTACATATGAATGAATTGAATAAGTATAAAGAGCGGAGTTTATATTATTCCAGTATTTGTCTCACAACGATTCAATGTTTTGCAATGAATGATCGAATTATCTGATATTGGAAAATTATGTATTATTTACTATATTACGTTACGACGTAAAATGACTTTTTATTCGTAGAAACGCATTACTAAATATTTTTGTCAGTTGTCTTAAAGAATCCACATAAGGTCTTCTGAGAAATACGCAGATTGCTATTATTGGAAGGTTATTTGAGGAATTATTGATATATTATATACTATATAATACAAATGTAACGTATTAGGTGTTGGAATTAATTCGTAGCGTTTTACAAGTGATGGGAAGTACTTTCATTAATGTATTTTTTAATGCTCATGTGAAATAAATAACATTCTTTCATTAAAAACGCTACGAATTAATTCCAACACCTAATATAAAATTACGTCGATGAAGCGATCTATTTGATTGTCTCATATATCTTGTTACAATTTTAAATAACTTTATACTCTTTAGTTAAATTTATTTTAATTAATATAGGAATTTTAAATATTGTTATTTAAGAAATTAATTCTATACTGGTCTCCTTCGGTTTAACGTTTGGTTAATGCCCTCATGACCCTTGATGTCGTTACACTTTTCACTTAATGCAATGGAATTAAAAGCGCAGTGATGCAAGATATTATAAAGAAAGTGATATCGCGCCACTCACAATCTTCTTGTTCTTGAAAGAGAGGAAAACTGGAACAGGGTCTTATTTGTGAAAAGGAGCACGTGGGCGTTAGAGAATTGCAAGAGAATTAAATCCCATCGGAATGAATTGTTCATGCTTCAGGCGCGAAGATAATGTATTCCCGACGGAACGCGCCCGCCATTCAGAAACAAGTCAAATGTTTCAAGTGAAATGATTGAAAGTGAAACTTACATGTGTGCATTGCCTCCATTTTCATCTCTTTCTTATTTACAAAGTTATTGTGAAACTTTCGATCATATTCGATGATAACAAAAGAACACACGCATAATATCTTGTTGCTGTCATTGAAATTTACTGTGAAATTGCTTGTTTATTTGCATGTTGATGAAGTGTCACTTCAATATGCCGCTTGAAATAGCATGTTATACGTGGAGTTCATTTAAGCAAGTCTATTGGAAGAGCGACAAGTACTTTAAACCTTCATTTTTACTATATCAATCATTTTCAAGATTAATTTTCTATACCTATGTATTTTATTTTTGCACTTAAATCTTTCTTACATACTTTACATCTTTTTTCACTTTCGAACAAAGCAAATTAAATATATAAAGACACTTCGTTAACAAAATTTATTAGGTGTTGGAATTAATTCGTAGCGTTTTACAAGTGATGGGAAGTACTTTCATTAATGTATTTTTTAATGCTCATGTGAAATAAATAACATTCTTTCATTAAAAAACGCTACGAATTAATTCCAACACCTAATAATATTTTAGTTTTTTCTTTCATAGTAAAAAACAAGTACGATGTTAGAAATAAATATTTTCTGTTTTAAATAAAATTTATGCAAATATGTGGTAGCTTAATATGCGAGATTCTTAAATGAATTTCACAGTGAAACAAAGAAGTTATGCAAAAGAGAGTTGAAATACGTGGGCTGAAGAAACTCTTTGTTTCATATTTGCAAAGCTGCTTGAAATTATAGAGAAATAAAAATTATACAAACGAACCATAAGATCTTTTTTCCTTTGCTAAAACTCTTGCTTTTCTCGAGTAGTAGCGATGTTAGTGTAGTCAGACACGCAAACAGGCGCGTCAATGTTTTCTGTCGCAATATTTGATCATACAATGTAAACCAAAATATTTTATTTTACTGATATTATTATGCTATAATAACGACATAAAAATTAATTTAGTCATATGAACATAATTAACTTAAAAATATCACAAAGGGACATTGATTCTCTGTTAAACAAAAATAACATTTAAATAATTAAAATTCATTATAATTATAAAAAGCAGTAAAAATGTAATAAAGAAAAGCATATGACATATTATCTAATCGATGATATATTCATAATAGTCGAAATATGTAAGTAATGCTATACAAATCACTAATTCTTGTCTGCTTTTCGAGTCCATATGAGATCAATATATGTAACCGAAATTATCCATCTAGTAGAGCAATACAAGGAATTTTGAATGAAAGCAACTAAAAAAAAATGGAAGTTTGACGAGTAGACATTGATTTTGTTTCTAGATGTATTAATTCCTTTTGAGAAAATGAAAGAAATAATCATAGAATTAATCATAATAGCTCTAAATATACACTCGTCAACAAAATTATCGTATAAATAAATTTACATTAAAATTTCGCATAAATTCAAATAAGCGGAACTCCGCGAAAAATAGTCGTATTTAAAAGTTTTTTTTTCATTTTCAAAAGTAAAGTCTGTACTTTACGAAACTTTCAATGGATTTTGAATCTATTTTTACCTCTACCTGGCATCTTTTCAAAAAAAAGACGTGTTTTATTTTTAAGAAATTTGCATAGTTTGACGCACTTTACGGTGGAGGTGGAATAAATTGTATATTTCCGCCTCGTCTTTGAATGAATTTTTTTTTTTCAAATGTCATGATAACCATCGTAAAGTATGGACTTTTCTCTTACAAATTAAAAAAAATTAAATAAATGCCTTAAACGGTCTAGCTGAATCTTAAATGCTTGTATGATTTCGTGAATTTATATATTACTTACGTAGTTCTTTGAAACGCGCGCTGAAATGATTTTTTAGTCTTGAAACACTAACTCTATTAAACTACCACAGTAATATCACGAGATATTTGAGTAGCAATTTAACAATTTAATGCTTTTTCGCATTTTCAAACGATCTTAATAGTGCTAAGTGGTATATTAAAATTTATAAATAATGAATTCTTATTGCAAAAAATAGTATAATACCTCGGCCGGAAGTAGAACCCGGATCTCTTGCTTTCCGGACAAGCGTCCTAAGTCTTTCAATCATCGAGCAATATTATTAAATTTATTTTTATAAAATTAAAGACCTCAGTGGCTTAAAGGCTTAGGACGCTTGCCCGAAAAACAAGAGATCCGAGTTCGATTCCTGGCCGAGGTAATATTTTTCGCAATAAGAATTAATCATTTACAGATTTTAATATGTCATTTAGCATTATTAAGATCGTTCAAAGATACGAAAAAGTGTCAAATTATTAAATTGCTAATTAATTTAATTCGTGATATTACTGGTAGTTTAGTAGAGTTAGCATTTCAAGACTGAAAAATCATTTTCGCGCACGCGTTTCAAAGGACTACATACATTGTACATAGGTAGTATATAAATTCACGCAGAATCATACAAGTATTTAAGATCCAGTTAAATCGTTTAAGGCATTGATTTAATTTTTTTTAATTTGTAAGAGAAAAGTAACTTTACGATGGTTATCATGACAGTTACTTAAAAAAATTTACTCCATCCGTCCGGTAGAGTGCGTCAAATTATGCAAATTTTGTAAAAAAAACATGTTCCTATTTTTGAAAAGATGCTAGGTAAGGATAAGGATGATTCAAAATCTATTGAAAGCTTTGTAAAATACATAGGCTTTACTCTTAAACATGAAAAAAAAAACTTTTAAATGCGACCATTTCTTGCGGAGTTACGTTTATTGGAATTTATGTTAGGTATAATATATATAACCAGAATATTTGTTATTTTTGTTGTATATTATACAAACATGTAATATTTTTTGAACATATTAACATGTCGACATAACAACTGCCGACGAACTGTACGTCCTCGCAAGCGACATTTCATTAAAGATACTAGTTCAAACCTTCACTTCATCTCCATCAGGTGCTTCCGTAGGAAAGAGAAAGATAGTTCTGCAGGGATGAGAGAAAGAGCAAGAATGCGTATGTGTGTGTGTGTGTGTGTGTGTGTGTGGGTGCGCGCGTGAGTGTGTGGAGGGAGGGAGGGAGGGGGAGAGAGAGAGGGAGAGAGAGAGGGAGGGAAAGAAAGAGAGAGAAAGGGAGAGAGAGAGAGAGAGAGAGAGAAAAGGAGAGAGAGAGAGAGAGAGAGAGAGAGAGAGATGTTACACTCGAGCATGCTCTACTCCAGAGTGTGTCAAATAGTGGTAACGCGCAGAAGGTGGATGAAGGTTACTAGAGCGCAGACGCTGCTAAAAGCATCGGGGATACTACCCGGTCCCGGTACGATATCGAAGTACCGGACAGAGCTGGCTCGTCCGCATTGCCGTATTCATCTATCAGTGTGTCACGTCTAGTTGGCGAAGCAATTTAGGGAACGTACATTCGGGGTCGGTATTGTTAACTTTGCGACTCAAGAGTTTTGTCGGAGAAATTATTATAATTATTAATTTTTGGTGACCTTTTTTCCGCTCTTGGCACGAAGTTAAGAAGTTAATTTTCACCTGTTAAACACCACTCTCTTTCTTTCGACGTGACTGTTTGCACGTAAGTAGCAATTCGAAGATCAAAATTTTCATTTTTTCGACATATATATATATATATATATATCCATATATACGCGTGTACACATACTGAAACTCATCTATAGCTCAATAGCCTGCAAGTTTTTTCAAAATATAATATGGCCGAAAGAATACGTATAACTCTCCGGAACTGTCGGGATATGTACGAGCGTGTACAATATGAATGAACGTGAAATATTGACGAGATAATTGCAATTAAGTGTGATAACGCACTTCTTTTTTGTTTTTAAATATAATTTATTAATTGGAAGACGCGGATTAATGTATTATAGATATTAGTAAAGAATCCTATTTTTTATTCTTAATAAAATTTTAGTTTAATTTGGGCAGTCAAATATAATTATAATTGTTATATTATAAATAATTGTTATGTATCGGTCTTAATTTAGTTTTCTACAAAGAATGTCATAAAAAGTACTCAATAAATCGCGTCATAGTATTTATTAGGATTGTGAGGATTTCAAGTGTTAGCAATTTCTAATGATTATTTCATGGTATTTTAATATTAACTTAAGGTAATACTTAACAATAAGAATTATATTCAATATAATAATTATATTATGCTAAAGTAAATAGTAATTAGTTATATTTAAATATTATTTTTTGAAAATATTAGAGGTTAGGAGTTGCAGATAATTAAGTATAGACTTTTTTCCTACGAAATAATATAGCTGATATAAAAAGTTTGCTTTAAAATTTGTAATAAAACATAAAATCTCAATAAATTCGCTAAGTTTATAACGCTCGTTTTATAACGGATATCTATATGTCGAAGATTATATAATTTGCTGCCTTCACATTATTTTGAAATCAAATAGTAGGATTTCTGGCAATATCAAAAATAAAATTTAAAACTAGCGGAGTAGTTACATTAATTTTCATTAGTAGTCAATGTAATTATCTTATATATTCAAATAGTGATTAATTAATAACATTGATACTCCTGATATTATTTATACTTATTTTCAGCTTATTATATACTCTACAATATTATACTTCTGATCTATTACGTACAAATATTTTGAATTATGTTATATACATAATTCATAAAAAATGATAATCTTTCCACATATGAGAGAGATTTGAATTTGTTGCTGAAGGCAACTGACTGGAAATCAAAATTTTAAAGATTCCTAGTGCACAATTACACAATCATAACGAAACGATTTACCTTCTTAAATTCTTTAAATTTGTCATAAAAATTTTATATAGAAATGTTTATAGAGATTTTATTAAAGACTCATTTACGTAATTGATTTAAATAGAAATAATATTCATTCAGTATTCAGTAAGACAATTTTTATTCAATAAAAAATTGTTATTGCACGCGTTCAATTATTAAGTGGGTTCAATTATTATTAATAAATTAAGATTTTTAATAATATATAAAGGGAATAAAAATTACTTTATGGATTATATAAGGAGCCAGATGATCAGATACTGCTACCTTTATAATTGGTACAAATGGTTGCAGAGTAATGACAATTTTTTTATGTAAGTTTCTCTTAATACAGCTTTATTTCTAAAAATAAAATAATCCACATCGGGATAAATTAATTCTCAATACCTGACACTCTAACTTCTGTGAGAAAATATTAGGTGTTGGAATTAATTCGTAGCGTTTTTTAATGAAAGAATGTTATTTATTTCACATGAGCATTAAAAAATACATTAATGAAAGTACTTCCCATCACTTGTAAAACGCTACGAATTAATTCCAACACCTAATAGCATTCGTGTTTATTTTTTTGCGGACTTATTAAAACTTAATCGGGATGTATTTCTATTTATTATTTTATATTTTCGTATATTTATGAGATGTGACGACAGCATTTCTTGAATACATATCTATCGAGGTCCATTGCTTTTGCTGCTCTCCCGCCAAGCGGAGATATCAATCATACTATACTTTATCGAAGTTGACGTCGGATCAAAATTTCTGATTAACTCTCATGTATATATTCGCGCGCGATTATGTTCTCAATGATATTTTCAACGCGATTTTTCCTTCCTACCCCCAAATAATTGTGCAGTTCCATTTGCACAAACACTTCGAGTTAGGTGACGATAATGAGATTGCATCGTGTATGTATTAAAGATCCGTAATCTTAGCACGCATTGATCGTAAACTGCGAACTTTGCGAACCACATATGCATCTTTAAAACCCGCCGACAGCAAAACGAGTCGCCATGTTAAAAACTGCTTGTTAATAAAATCCGAGATCAATTTCGCCGAGATCCAATCACTTCGAATTACGCAGCGGAGAGTAGCAAGACATCCTTTTAATAACTTAAAATTACATCGCATTTTGTCATTTTACCCTTAGCACCGTTTGGAGGCTCGGATTAAAGTTACTCTTATCTCTCTTAGTTGGTTTAATATAAACTAATATTGAGTTTCGTATAAACTTTAAGGGAGAAATCATACGTTTGGCGTGTATAAAAGACACGAGTAGATGCTGCTTCGATAGAAAGTTTCCATGTAAGAGAACAACATCTCAGATAACTGTACGCGTTTCTGAAACTTGAATTGACTTTTTCAAGTAATAGTTCGTCTGATACTATCAGGAGAATGCAATGCTATCAAATTTGAAATTTACTAACGAGGAATGACTTTTGAAAATCTTCTTTTCAAGACTTGTAAATGTTTACAAACTAGTAAAGTATAGTAAAGTATAGTAAGCGTTTTGAAAATTCGATCAACTTTAATAATCGATAAAGACATGACATGCGTGTTGCGATATATTCGAGTACTGTATTTGAAATATTGAGCAATATTTTGACCATAAAAATGTACGTGTTATGTATTATCTAATTATTACAGAAATGTAATTTTAAGTATCAATCTTAATATTTATTAGAAATTTTTAATCCTGAATAAAATTCAACACAAAATTAATATCGTAATGATTCTCGTTATCACTACTTTATTACCGTTTTTCATGACAACTTAACTGTATAATTGTCTTGTATTCTATATTCGTTGCGCATTTATTAATATTCATTTTCAGACAATATAATTAAATTGATAGAATCGTACTTGTGAAAACACAATCAATAAGAAATAAATTAATTTTCAGTCATCTATGATGTATACAAATTTTATTGTGTTTTTAACACATTTTCGTATGACGGAATTTGTAATCGGCTTGAGGTTACTACCTCAATGTCAATTCATTCTGCGGCCTTCCAAAAGTAACTTTGCTTAATACCTATTTACATAGTCTACATAATTTTAATTTTTGACACTTAAATCTGTTAAGTAACGTCGCATAGCTTTATTTTTCCTTCCGTGTATAAACTATACTGTACCAATTATTTATATAGCAAAGCGATAATTAAAGCCAGTAATTAGTAATTATTCGCATGAATGTGATGAAAGAAATCGGCGCCATTTGACCTATTGCTCTTCTGCCAAGCAGTTATGATAAATTGTGGCACTTTCATTTTATGGAACAATACGAATTTAAAATGAAAAAGAGCAGAAGAACATTTGCATTAGAGCAAAATGTATTATTTGGTCACATCTTTTTCATTGATTTTTTTGCGAAGAAATGTGAGTACAAATAGTTCTCTTAGCTTTGCAAAACAGTAATTATTTATCAATTTTTGATCTTTCAGTGGAAGTTTTTGTAAACTCTGACTTTTTTCTTTAATTTTTCAAATATTTTAATATACTCTATTCAATTTGATGTGCTACTATATCGTGCAATAGCATTTTTTATACAAAAAGAATCAAATTTTCGGTGAAAATAGAGACAAAATTAACATTGGCATTACTAATTAAATAATTTGATATCGCAAATCAAATGCACATCTGTGTTAAATTTCGTCTCTACTTTCACGAACATTTCGATTTTTCTATATGTGGAAAAAGTTATTTTTATTACACGATGTTATATTAAAAAAGCTATTAATAGCTATTATTTTAGCTATTATTAATAGCTCTTTTTTTATTGTGTGTGTGTGTGTGTGTGTGTGTGTGTCGCGCGCGCGAGACTTACATTTTTTCAAAATAAAAATGAAAAAGCTTTTTTGGAAGAGATCTTTTTTAAAGTTATTCTAACTGCAAATTAATAGAGAATGTCATTAATTTAACACATGCCGCCGAAACAATTCATTGTCAGACTTTATCGCTATAACTCCAGCCACTAATTAATTTCCTAAAGACTCGATTCCGTAGATACTGATTAAAATACATTTCGAATTTAACCTGCGCAATTCAATCTCATGTTGGACATGCCGCGATTAGTCGAGAATGTAAATCCTAATTAATCTCGACTTTAAATTGACGTCGCATGCATATAAGGTAACTCCGGTATATATGCCGCATCTATCAAAAACTTAATTTATTAAGTATTATTAATTTATTAAGTATTATTTATTATGTTTAAAGTAAACGAACTATATCAGTAAAAATTTTGTACTGTTTACTATTGTGAAAAAAAATATTAGAAATCCGAAATATTTATTTTTCATATTAAAAAATAAACTTTTTGAAATTCTTGCATTTTTGCCGTATATCCCATAGGGATGGGATATATGATTACTTATAGGGGAAGGGAGAGAGGTATGTATGGCTCATGAAAAGTTTACAAATAATGCATATAAATAAGACGTAAAATAACACAATAATTTATAAAATGTGTTTATAAAGTTATATTAAGAAATAAGAATGGTAAATATGTATATGAAATAATAAATAATAATTACAATCTTCCTACATATATTAGTGTTATGACATGAGGTACATATTTCATATAATGCGTTTATTGCATTTAGTGCACTGAATTCAATCTGCGTATAGTTGTATGTTTTGAGCATAAATCCCGTTCGCCAAAAATGCCATATATCCCAAACAAGTGAGATATACAAGACAACAAACTAAACAAAGAATACGAAAGCAAAACACTTGTATTTTGCTATACAACATGCTTCACTATTCCACTATACGTATGTATC